TCTGTGTGGTCTATGCACGCGTGTGGTCAGAGCGGTAAAAATTTATCAACCCCCCGGCCCCTTCTTTCCATCATCGTTCCGTTCGTTAACAAGAAGAATGTCTAATATTAATAAAGATAAAGATAAACTGAAGCGACCCACAGGCTTATTTGCCTTTGGCATCGTAAAAAAACCAAAGAATGGTAAGAACATTTGTAGAATTCGAATAATATAAATAAGAATTTTGGCAAGCGAAAAAAAAATACATGCAAATAAGAGACTAGGCCTAGGCCTAGAAAGAAGAGGTAGGGGAGGCTTAGCGTAGCCTAGTTAATCTTCCTAATTAAATTCTTCTGCAAATCAAAAATGCCCTTAAAAATATGTCAAAAATATTTATTTTTTTAAGTAATTATTTAGTGCTCTAAAAGTGCTCTAATGGCATCAGAGAGCATCTAGACCCTAGAGCTTCCGGGGCCCTTGGGCGGGCCCCGGACCCCCGGCCGAAGTGGGTGTACTCGGTGTCCATTTGCAAGTTACCTGCTGTAAAATCTTTTTTACCTGCTGTAATTTTTACTAACAACAACCCTGATTATGTATTCCTAATCATGTGAAATTAAGTAGAATTAAATATTCAATCACCTTATAATGAAATTGTAATATCAATTTTTACAATAACAGTGAATATGATTTGATTCTCATCATCACCCTACTTTGTGAGTGACCACATAACTTTTCAAATTTGTCGGAGCCTCTACTGAGGTTGTACATTGATCTTTGATGGGAAGTTATTCCAAAGGTATGAATCGCTAAGAAGGTCTGTGATTTGCATCTAGCAGATGGTTGCCATCTCCCAGTAGATCCTCTATTGATTCCAGTATGACATTACACTAGCATCATATTGCTTGGTGATATAATACAAGAAATGCCACTGATTAATTGAAGTTGATCATTATACCATGTTTTGAGTAATATTAATACATTATTCAAATTAGTAGGTCATAATTTTAGTAAAACTTGCCTAAAATTAGAAAACTGTAGGAAAATTTCTATTTTACATTTAAAGTAAACAATAGAGATTATTGTACTTATTATTACTCTTGCAACACCAAAGTATACCAATAAAGTTTTCTTGTAGGCCTACTTCATGCAGTATACTAATAGACATAAGTGTTTACACAATGTGAAAAAAAATGTGTGATAATTAGTTTTGTGTTTTAATCCATACTAAATATTTACGTAGTAGGCTCTAAGTAATGCTTTTATGGGAATATGTATTAAAAACAACATAAATTAAATTATACTAAAAAATAAACTGACTTATGTAAAAAAAAGTTTACAAAAGAAAAACAGACTGTATCTGGTTACCATTTTAATAAAGTTTTTTTGGAGCTAAAAGTATAAGAATCTTCCTTGGATATAGAACAGAACTTTGTTACAATGATAATCTCAGAGGTTATATTTCTGGGGCAAATGAATTAAAAGCTGAAAATATCATATAATATAAATTCATTGTATGTAGTAGGACTACAAAAAAATGAATCCCTGGAATATTAAAATGTGGATGTTGAAAAGCGTGTCAAATCTCAAAATTTTAACATAAATCTCGCCTCATTTAAAAAGGTTTCCTAGGCCAAAATGTCTGACCCTTTCCACCACCGGTCCTCTTAAGGTAAATCAACTAGTACTGCAATGCAAGGGTATTCCTCAGGTGTAATCACTGAATTAAGGTCACTTAGATGCGGCCTGTCTGAGCACATAATAGCCAAGGAATCCTCTACTTAATGCACTGTATGTAGTGTAAAATCTGTGTTTGAGGAACACACTTGGGACAAAATTCAACTAAAAGCTCTAATACTCGCTATTGAAGTCTCAGTGCGAGACAGTTTGTAACTTCTGAAGTAGCTTGACTATGCTCAGTTGTTAAATCTAATTATTCTACACATAGTATATCACTATACTTATGCTGGTAAGGCAGACACAAACAGTGACTTGCGCTAAGAGGTGGGGCTACTGCCTATGATGCTCAAATCTTCAGACCAATCAGAGACGAGGATCAGTCATCTCTGATTGGTCAACTGATGTATAATGTAATACATCAAAATATGGTTTGCACTTGAAATTTCCAGCTGACCAATAGCCTAGAACCTAGCTGAAATGTTGGTGTGGTACTTTTGCAACCTCATCACCTTATATAATCATCCGAAATGAATTCAATGAAGACAGATAAATATTTCCTACAGCAAGAGAAACATCATAAGGATTTATTCATATCTTTAACATGCGTTGAAAAAACCCAATCACAACCAGTGTACAGGTAAATCTTTCAACTTTTTTTTACTTTAACTAAATATTTTTAAAAATAAAATTTAATGATAATCATGTTTGTATTTATTCATTTATCTATTCATATAAGCCATTTAAAATAAAGGTGAGTATAATGTAATTTTTTACATTAATTAAAAAAACTATAATTTTAATTGGATTTTGTTGATCGTAATCAAAATTTATGGTATAAAGAGATAGCAATTCAAAATACCAATTCATTTTTTTTAATGCTTATTTTGTTTAATTATCTTTGTTAATCAGTATATTTAATTATGCAAATTTAACGAATATATGTTTTGTGAAATTATTCATGGATTTATTTTGTTTGAAAACAACATAAATTCATAAACTACATATATTTGATAACAATTAATGTAATATTGTCACTTCTTGTAATTTTTCCTTCCTAAGAGAACAAGTTATTTTATCACCAAAGGACTAAATTCTTGCTACATGTTAGATTAAAAAAGTGAAATACTAACTGTTTCTTTACAGAATTACCAACAAATAGTTGAACAGTCAAAGAAAAATTCCAGCATATACCTCAAAATGATCTCGACGTTAGTTTTTTACTTTTTATCGGCAGCCTTCATTTACATTACGCTGTATTACATCAGTGAGCTACGAGATTTTTATATTCTTCGCATGCCACCAGGTCCAATTTCATTACCGTTCATTGGAAACCTACTCAATCTTGATAACAAATTTATGCACCTATCTCTTGTACAACTTGCGAAAAAACACGGCAAAATTTTCACAATCAAATTCGGCACAGATCGTGTGGTCATTTTAAATGACACAGCACAAGTTAAGCAAGCCTACAATGGACCGCATCTCACCAGTCGACCCAAAGTGTTTTCAATAGACTTCTTCCTGAATAAATGCTTTATGACGTGCTCCGACAGAGACGAATTTCGAACTCACGCCAGACTTATGAAAAACACATTTCGTGTGATTTCAGACATAAACCTCAATGCAAAAATTACAGAGGAGGCAGAAGACCTAATAAGGCAATTTGAAAGCTACAAAAATAAGCCATTTAATCCAAGAAAAGACTGCCACTTGGCTTCTCTTAACATTCTTTACAACCTTGCATTCGGACAACGGTACCACCGTGACGATTCAGAGCTTGAGGAAATCTTGAGCTATTCCTCTGACATAATCAAGGGAATCTCTCCGGCGCATCCTGTCAACCTGTTGCCTTGGTTACAGAAAATCCCCAACAAATGGTTGAATGCACTAAGCAAAGCACGGGATAGGAGAGACCATCTGCTTATGAAGAAGTATCATGAACATGATTCGACTTACAAGGAGGGTGTCATTAGAGACATGCTGGATGTGTTGTTAAAGGAAGCGCATGATGCTAGAGCACAGGGGGATCATGATCTCCTTCGTCTGCTAACTCCAGAACACATTGTCATCAATATTTGGACCATATTTTTTGCAGGTGAGTTTAAAATCATTATTATCCAAGATTCGTAAAATTCTACAGATACATACAATTTTACAAAACAAATTCATATTTATTTATACAAATAGTTGAATAAACCTGAGTGGCAATGCGATTATGAAAAAAATTGAATTAGGCTTCAAAACGAGACAAATCAAGAATATTAATGGACCCATTGTTGCGTTATTATGTCTGCAATAAAACTGTTGAAGCTATCAGCTAAAAAAAAACTATAACATGTGGGAGTTTGGCTTCTGATTCTGTTTATTTTAGGTGGTAAATAGCTGTTTTAATTTGATTAGTGATATCTGGTCGTTTACCCAGGCCTCTGACCAATAGCCTTGAATGAGGGGTGGATGAGTTCAGGAGTAAACTCACTATGCCTCGGCTTCATCAAACAATTGCCAACTTGACTTGTATACACATGAAGTGAGAAGCTAATTACAATAGATCTGAACACACCTGGACAACTGCAAGCAATGTAAAATTACCGATTGGTGGTTAATGAGAAATCACAAAAAGATAATATGAAAACCATCTATAATAACATTTCAAGTTAAGAAAGGAATGAAGCGTAGTTAAGGGAAAACTAAATTGAAACATTATCAAGGTGCACTGTGCACTATGCTACAATAGCACAGAAACCTCAGATAGGGTTCAAGTCACATTAGAAAACATCAGACCCCTACAAAGTCTCATAAATAGATAATATGCATAGAGATAAAGTAAGGCCCTACTGGTTGTGAAATGTACTGTAATGCAGACCTGAGGCTTTTGGGTCCAGAAGGGACTAAGCTTTCAGAAAATGGGGTCTGAAAGTGTGTAGGGTTCAGGAGAGAAGCCCTGATGATTTTACAGGGGAAACTGGGCAATTTTGGGCCAACTTAAGCTGGTTGCGCTATAGTATGTATTATGCCACAGAATTAAATACACAAATGGCTGGATGAGAAAAACATGGCCTGTTCAATGGAGGAGGATTTACCCCCTTCCTGCTGATTTTCTTTGGGAAAACCATTTCAAACACATATGAATTTCATAAATAAATAACATACAACCATTCCATAACATTGCTTGGCCTACTGACATATTAATGTGGCTGATGGTTGGACTATCTGCTTGTTCGGTAATTTATAACTCACATTTTGTTGCCAGATTACAACTACTGAAAGTCAACAAGTGGGTGGATATTGATCAAATTTGCATCAATTATTTTTATTAGATTTTTTGGAAGCCTTATCATCCAGGGAAATTAGTGAAGTTACATGCTTTTTTTTAGGACATTTTATAATTTAACACTACTCCTAAAAAATGTATTAAACATGGAGGTAGATAATACAGTGTAATACAAATGGTATAAGACATTGGACCTCTGATCGCAGGATTGGGAGTTCGAGCCTGACGCTCATCTCACTGCTTGTGTCCTTAGGCAAGATACTTTACCTACGTTTGCCTCTCTCCACCCAGGAGTAAGAGTGGGTACCTGGTATGTTCGAACACAACTGCGCTGATTACTAGCTGCAATATTATGGAATTTTCCCAGGGGAGCTGAGTATGTGTTCCATACGTGTTTAATCCAATGACCGGGGTAATAATGTGAAGCGCTTAGAGGCTTTAGGCATAAAGTGTTATATAAGACCGACATATTATTATACTTTCCCTTGCTTCGTGGCTGAAAATGTGTCCCCTTACTTAATAAGTATGTCCCTATTGGAATGTCCCAACAGTGATGGCTCCAGGATCTGCCCCACAAGGGGGCTAAAGGGGGGCTAGGCGAGCGAAGCGAGCCTAACTTGCCGGGGGGGGGTAAGCCGCCTAGGGGCCACCGATGGGGTTCCAGGGGGAGAAGCCCACTGGAAGCTATGGATATTTGACGAATTTTGGTGAATTTTTATTAGTTATTTGATAGGCATCAAGCTACCGTAATATGACTTGTATGTTTTTTAATGTTGAAATTACCTTCCAAAACTGAAAATTTTTTAATAAAACAATGAGAAACAAAGAGTAAGCAATGTACTTATTTTCAAATCCGTTTTACATTTTATATTATAAAAAACAAAACCACCGTATTACATTACAATTCTATCCTCCCATCATGGCGAAATCCAGGTTTTTCATAATCCATTTAATTGTGAATTATTAAGAACAAAATTACGAATAAGAATAATGTCTTACTATTGTAAGGCCACCAATTTTTGATATTATACTACAATAAATTAAGAAAACACAATGTCAACAGGAACGTCACAGTACAAGCTTTTAATTGAAAGTGAAGTTATAAATTTTGGAAATTTTGCCTGAAATCTGTAAACCACAAGGTTGCTTCCCCGATCAAGATGTATTCTAAGCATCGTGAGGATATCCAAACAAGCATTTGACATAGTAGAACCCAGAGTAGAACAGAAACCATTTTTTAATTAGTCCCATTGAACAGGGGCGGATCCAGCATTTTTCAAAAGGGTGAGAGGCATTTTAATTCCCTTTTTTTTATTTCAATACATAACATTAATATGCACTGACACTTAAAAAAATTGTGTCAAAACCTTGTTTTGACACTTGACACTGTTCTGCTGACTTACGTTCCAATAGATGGTTAAACGTATTCATTGTGAAGAAGAATATCTGTTGTTTCGGGGGGAAGGGAGGGGGGGCTAGGCTTCCCCGACGAGGGGGCTATAGCCCCCAGCCCCCTTGGTGCCACCACTGTGTCCCAAAGGAAGGGGGTTCTACTGTACATAAATAAAACAATTCATATGACCTTCATAGACTCTTTTATTGGCTGGTCATTTTAAGGATTTCTGTATCAATATAACTTGAGTTTCTCACAAACCAACCAATCTAAACAAATTTGCACATTTGCACTACTGACAGTATCATCTGCTAAAAATCAGCTAGCCATGAGTATCACCATGATTACCTCCACGCGCATCAAAATCTGATAAGACGTGTTTAAGAAAGCGCATTATACTAGCTCTCTCTCAAGTGGCTCCTTTTAATTCGGTCCCCAAAAATTAACTCTGTAGAGCAATATGAAGACGTTTCATTGCAATATTTTTCATGGAAACTCTCACTTGAGCTAAACTCAAAGATTATATGTGACACTTCAACTCAAATACCATTAAGTGCCTACACTTTATGGAGATGAATTTCAAGGAGGTTAATTTGATAGAATCAATTCTTGAAATATAAACTGTAAAGCTATAATGACGCAATCAACTTATTCTGTATTTTATTATTCAGTATTTTATTATTTTAACACTTCAAATGTAAATCCAATAAGTGTCTTTTTAAAACTGTGGCATGCTTGTTCAGATTATTCTTGAGAGAATAATTCTTTTGGAATTAAATTCTTCAAATATATATAGAAAGCTCTAATGACATAAAAATCTTTCAATTAGTTTAATAAATAATAGTGTTTGTACTTAAGTACAACTTATAGAAAATATAAGTCCCATGCTGAAAACTTCTTCCCTTATTTGAAATTAATTATTCATAGAATAAATTCTTCAAATATATAGTAAAGATCTAATGACATAAACATCTTTAAATTAGTTCAATAAATAGTTGTGTTAGTTGTACAATGTAGCAAATATAAGTGCCATGCTGCAAACATGCTGAAATTAAAGGTTTACCTATCTTTGTTGATATGAACATACAGTAGTACCAGTAAAGATTTAAAAATTTTTAAGTATGAGAGTCCAATTTCCGGGCACCCAGAGGTCCATAATCTCACCTCAGCGGCAACCATGATGGGGGATGTGGTGGTCTGGACTCCCACTCACCCCCCTACCTACAAATCCTGCATCTGCCCCAGTCACGTATTATAAAATGATGGGGATGGTTTGTTTTGTGGTTTGTATGTAAACTAGTTACTTTCTTGTTCCACTAACCGTCATAATGTTGAAGACACTTGGCTGTCATTGACCATAAAATGGTTGATATGGCCATCGAGAGAGATCTTTTAAAAAAAATTATTTTAGGTTAAACTAAAGGTAGTTTTTTTCATGGTATGGCAACCATTAAAGTAAAGCCTGTTGTATTTTGCTCAAATAAATAAATCCAATTAAAGAAAATGCTAGGTTTCCCATTATTTCTTAAAAATCATTAACATCCGGCCACTAGTATCCTGATTTTGTAGGATTTAAAGTAGCATTAAAATTCTCCTCATCTATCAGCTCTTAACCCTTATTAAGTGCTTGCTTATCATCATTGTAGCTACTTAGCCGAGCAAACCACACATGTTCACACATTGAGTGTAGTAGAATCTCTGGATCAGCACCAAGTGTAGGCTGAGACCTTGGCACTGAACCTCACCTTGTAAACTCTTCTGATTTATTTTCTAGGAACATCCCAGTAGAAAATCATCCTGTTAAGCCGCAGCTTATAAATCGGTCTGCTTGCCTTCCAGGCGGCCGATTTACAGGAAGTTATCAGTTCCCTTAAATTAAAACAATCTAATTAAAGACTATTTGAATAGCACCCATTTCAAGAAAGACAGCAATTGTTTTTTAACTATCCAATGTTATATAAATGAATGATAAAGTAGTTCCATGGGTATAACTATAAGTCCACTCAATATTTTAGGCCCAATCTTACCTACCAGTGTTTCCTCAAGCACAATCCCAGGGTAGAATTTGAATAAGTGGCTCAGCTTACTTTTAAAAATACAGGTCTCAGTCTAATTAAAGACCACCTCCAATTAAAGACTTTCATGTGGTCCCAAATTAACAAATTCCTATTTATTCTTTATTATTCTAATTAGAGACCAATACTTCTAAAAACCATGGAAACCCTGGTCCCTAAAGTGGTCTTTAATTGAAGGGAAACTGTACAAGATTGCCTTATAATTTGGTATGCAGTATTAAAAAGATATTTTTTAATTGGGCATCCCTATAAATTATGGGAAAAATTATCAATTTTAAAAAAGATCATAATTTCTTTTATAAAAAGTAGATTCTTTTTATTTAAGCCCACACTCCAAAATTTGCCTAATTTTGTTT